CACTAGGAATACTTCAACAGCATAATTTCAAGAACTATCACACAGTATGTCTGTGTGATGAAATTTCTTTTTCAGTTGATTGTTCTGAAACCAAATACTTGGGGAAATATGAGAAGGGGAAAATATCATAGTATTCTTTTGCCAGAAAGGAGTAAAGACATAGTCGAATCTGGGTTTCTCAAACCCAGATGACATTTTTGGACTTGGTAATTTTTTGGTGGGACACTGTCTCATACTTAACAGCATCCTTGGCTTCTGCCCCTTAGATGACAGCATTCCCTTCTCTAGTCCCCACCTAAAATAGTGGGGACAAAATCACCTTGGTTAAGTACCCCTAGCCTAGTCCAATCCCTTTCATTTCACAGGTTTCACCAGTGCACTGGGGAAGCTGGTAAACCACACAATCATTACTAGAATTCAAACTTCAGTGCTCTTTCTGCAACACCAAGTTTCCCTACTTTCACTTTGATCCTGTTATATATCAAAAGGAAGTCATTAGATTCTGCCTAAATGTGGGTCCTAAAATAGGGAAATTAAACTAATTTGACCCTGCAGAGACAAATGTAATTTTTTTAAGGTTTATTTATTTATTCATATAGAACTGGGGTGCAGGTCAGAGGTGCAGGGGCAGTGAGAGGATTCACTAGAGACAGAGCGGGTAGCAGAACAGGCAGATCTATGAAGTACACTGCTGAGGGGAGCAGCAGCCAGGCCAGAAGGGGTCTGCCATGCCATGTGGGTCACCTCCGATGCTGGGTATTGAACTCACACTGAAGCAGCTGCAGCTCACTTGCAATGCTGCATCCTAACCTATTGCACCACCAGGGAGGGCCCAATAAGTGTAATTTATGAGGACCTAATACTTCCCAAGAAATTTTAGCCAAAGATTGAGACAAACAGCTCAGTTTCTTTTTTTTTTTTTTACTTACCTAATGGAATAAATATGTATAGTTGCTTTTTACTTGAGCAGGTGAAAAGTACTAAGCCACTCAACTCTGATAAATAGTAAATGAGAATACATTTCCTAATAAATTATTGTGTATTTTTCTTTACCAAATATTTTCTATTTTCAAGGGTAAGATTAAGAAATATTGAAGGTCTAAATATCCATAAGACAAACTGATATTTGGATAGCCTTTAACCATATATTCAATTTCACTTAGGATGTCTGTATGGAAATCAGAATATTATTTTGCAAAGCTCTAAACATCTACCAGTTTTCCTTCACTAAGGAATCAACAGTTTTGAATTTATAAATTTACTAATGAGACTTTCCATGAAGCTATTGACATAAAGAAATATCCATTTTTTTAAAATTAATTTGCTTGTTTCCTCCAGGTATTTATTTTAAACTCTTTGCCTTATTAGCCTGCTTTCAACTTTCTAGAGACTGGACTTCTAAAGTGTCTTTTTTTTTTTTTGAAGCGATTAATAAAAAGTTTATTTACCAATTTTATCCCTCTGCTTCATTTATTCCGGTTACTCTTCTTATTTAGATGTATGGTTTTCCACCTAAATTCCCAATTCTTCAGGCTTGTATGTCTCATTGTGCCCTTTACATTTGTCATAACTTAAAATCTGCCCAATCTCACCCACATATTAAAATGTGTAACAATCACCCTAATGTATAGAGATTATAAATGAGTTTTAAACACAGGAAAATCAGATAAAACAATATTCTCCCTATAATTCTGTCCAAAACACTTTGTTTTAAATGCAGTGCTAATGGGCTTTATGAAGGAAAAGATATGTTTACGGCTATGGGTTGAATTACTAAATTAAAAAAATAAGAAAATATTTTATATAGCTGAGGTTAGCATTTTTTTTTTCATATTAAATTGAGGATCTCCAGTGGAAAAATCACCTTTATCTAATTAGACACATTAAACAATCAAAAACCAATACATTTACAAACTCATAAAGAACCAAGCAAACTAAAAAAAAACCATCACCACTTTGATCTCATCATTCTCAATGGTGAATTGATTTTCTGAGCTTCTATGTCTTCTGTATGCCCATTCATCCAGTCAATTCTGTTAATTATTTCTTAACTCAGCCTTTAATTATCAAAAGAACTATTCTTTAAAGCATATCACTAGCATATCCGTATGTGGAATAGGTGTATATTTTGTAGTAATTCAAAAGAACTACAAATTGATAAACTAATGGATGTAAAGGTTATTTCAGAAAAACATAAGCTTCATTCTGAAGAGTTTTTGTTAAAAAAACTCATCTGACATGAAAAGATGTTTCCTGAGCCATGCCATTTTGATATAAAAATTGTTGATTAATAAGTCTCAATTACTTGATTATGCATTTGGTTTCAAACTTTGCTTTTAGTGTTCAGAGGCTGCCTCCAGGCAAAATTTCAGTTCATTATCAGTTCAAAAGGCTGTCCAGTTGTACCTTCTTAAGCTACAGTAAATACATTTCCATCTGGTCTCATCCTCTTTAGTATCTGACATTTTGTAATAGAGAGCTTTGAAATCATATTTTATGGCAGTGAAGCTGCTTGGGGAAATTTATTGACTTAACAATCCCATCCAACATCTCATGTCATGTGGAACGGTCCCCAGTACAAGGTAGATTAGTGAATGAGAGCTACTTCAATTTGGCCCAACTGTCTGACTAAAGAATTTTCCATTACATGGGTGGGTGAGATCAACTGAGTTTGGAACCATTCAATTTATTCTGTGGAAGCAGTATAAAAGAACACAATAGTGACTAGGCTGAATTTGAGTGTGCTCTCTTCTGTTGACTTCCTGATGAAGCAGCAATGCTGAGATTATAAATTATTATTCAACTTATTTTTTAAATAGATCTAAGTATCTACCCTGTGGTCTGTATTTTATATCTGCCTCCATGTTAGATTCTGAACACAGTAAGAGGCTAGTTAGCATAAATATACAGAGATAGTTGATAATTCATGGAAACTCCCAGTGTGCCCAGACCCCAGGTTTCTGTTAAATTTTACTGCTCCAGCCAGATCAATGAATAACAGGAGAGAACTTTTGGAATTCTCTTTTAAATAGTAGGCTAGCCTCCTCTCAATAATGACAACCTGCAACCCCAAGTCTTACTAATTCCCATGTACCACACAGAAGCTGGGATAAAAAGAAAATAAAATGGCTGAGAGAAAATATAAATATGATTATGTCTGACACACTTAACATCTGCAAAAGAGCTCAAGTTTTCAACAAATATCTGGAAATACACAGATTTATATTATGCATAAACAAATTTAAATTCACTGGATAGTCAAGAAAGGCATTAAAGAAAAAAGCAATTCCTATTCATGAGAAGAATTTCCTACCTGACAATGGAATTTATTATTTCAAATCTATAAGCTATGATTAATTAACTGGATAGTCTACAAGGAATCTTACTTAAAAGTGCATAAATTTGAAGTCATACTTACAAAAGAACAAAATTATTATTTTATAGCATTAGATCATATTTTAAAGAATGTAAGTCACTTGAATAAAATGTGAAATTTATTTTAATTGTTGGCATTTTGTCAGATAGACTAGATTATTTTTATGAAAATTTATAATTCTATTAAAACATAACATTAAGCTTTTAAAATACTAGTGTCGCATAAGCAATAGATATTTAATAAGCATTTTTGTTTATGATGGACTGTTTTTCTAACAGGAATTTCCATTTCTGCTATGTGTGGAATTAGATAAGGCAACCCTATAGATCAATATGATTTCTCTTATTAATTTAATTTGAGAAATATATTTTATTCCATAAAATGAAAATAATAGCCTCTGATTACCATTATTAATGATAGTAGAGGCTTCTAAAATAATCAAATTTATAGCAGTTATCCTACAAGGCATATATAAACAAAATACTTTCCTGTACACCTTATGAATAAAAGCTAGAACAATCATGTAAAGTACTTGTAATGAACTTTTTCAAGACTATATAGAGATTTCAGAGACCCAGATAAGTTTAGTGTTAGATGTCAGTAACCTGAATTTTATAGCTTGAAAGAAGCCATAATAGATACATGATCTGTATTTGTCCTTTTACTCATCCTGTAATTGAAATGTAAAACCATGAAATGACTTAATCAGTGATACAGAGCTAACATGTGTCAGGTACAATGTCTCATATTTCTTAAAAATGACTGTAAATATTAGCATATATTTACAAAAACATTATTATTTTCAAACTAAACTCTAAATGGAGCATATCACATCATAGCCCTTTATAACAACACATTTTGTTATACCAAATATACTGATTACCAAATGTGGTGATATTACATGTCCCAGTTATATACAGAAAAGTTTATTTTCTTGCTTTCATTGCTTACTCATGTAATACTATTGACATTTAAAATAGAGAAACCAAAATTATTTCATTCAATTAAGGCAAATAAAGAAGTAAAATTTCACTATGAAATATTTTTGAAGCTTATATTTAATAAATGTATATTTCATATTTCCCCAAATATTTAATAAAGTATCATTAATAAATGTTCTTTATATATTCATGAACATAAAGGTCAATAAGGGTAAATAATATAACTTACCACTTAGAAGCCAAATAAATAGCAATGCCTTAAATAACTTGTTTTACTACCTAGTACTGCTCAATCTAAGAGATCACATCATCTCTACTATACTAATAGAAACCCAACAATAAAGCTTGTATCAACTGTACTAATATAGCCATAATATTTTCAGTAAAATACTGTAGCTTTTCAAAAGAAAGCAGGACTTTAGAAATAAAAATATAGTATATATATGATCCAACCAGTGATTGCATATTTTTAAGTAGTGTCTTAATTCCCCAAACAATAGCTGTACTACACAGAAAAATTTTAGACAAAAATTCAAAGATTTAAAGAAATTTCATTATGCCAAAATGGACTTTCATTACTATACTCCAAAAAATGACCACTTTCTTGCACACTATATTCATAGAGACATCTATTTTATACTGGTTGATCAAAACATGGAAAGTTTTTCCAAATATATGCTCACCTGCTCAGAAATGAAGTCACTGCTATCTTCCAAATATTTACTGAAAGGGTTGGGCTCATAGATTTCTTCCTCTTTTTTCAAGACTATTTTGGATTTTACAGGTACTGGCCGAATTACTCCAGGCTTAGTCTTCATGAACATCCAATTGATTTATCATAAAATAAAGACAGAAACTATATTAAAATGAGTAAGTATGAATATTGTTAAGTCATTCAAATGTTCTCAAAAATATTTTGTATTTTACAATGATTTATAAATATATAAAACAGTCCCTAAATCTAAAGATTTCTAATATGTTTTAACTATCACAGCAGTCAACTCATAACGATCTACTATGAACATGTTCAAAATAAAAAACTTCATTTATCTAGCCAAAGCTGTCTTATATCCTTGCCAGTTAATTCAATCAATAAACATTTCAATAATAAATATTTCATAAATGTTTATCAAGCCTGTCCTCCTGTCCTCTGTGCCAGGCAATATTCTCATTGTGGGCAGAATAGACAATTGAATTTGGCATATTCACCAAATCTATAACAACTTTCATTTTCTAAAAACTGTCTCCCATGTCCCCAAATCCACACGACCAGGTCACCAGAAGTACTGTCTATATTACATGTGAAACCAGGGATAACTTTCTGACATAAGACAGTGAAGGGTAAGTAGTAATCATGTGTTCTCCTCCAAGAATATGGAAAAGAGATCTTAACTCTCTTTAATCATGTTCAGATTGAAATTATGTTGATTTGAGAAGTATGAGGAAGTCTTAATCTTTCCCCCTACCAAAAAAAAAAAAAAATCCATGAGATCAAGAAAAAAAGAACAAAGTATGTGAAGAGCCAGCCTACAGAGGAGAAATACTTAAGAATTTTCCAGAACTGAGTTCCAAAACATCCCTGGTACCCAACTAAATTGTTTGTGCTAAGGTTCCTTAAGAATCCTTTTCTTTCACACTCAATTCCCTTCTAAATTTCTCCTTGAGTTGAATTCAAACTCCAATATTTCTATAATTTCAAGCAATAGTTTTAGCTTATAAAGTAGTCATTTGAATTCATAAACTTGCACACAAATATCATTTGGATAAGAGGTAAGAGGGGAGGGGGTAAAAGGAAGGAATGGAAGATAAAGGATAGAGAGGAGGGCAGGGAATAAAAGAAAGACTTAGGAATGAATGAAATCTAGTTTGGGGCAATTTCAAAATAATGTTTCAAAAGCACCAAAATCTTGTTATACTGTAATATGCCACAGCACGATTGATAAGTTTACAAAAAAAAAAAATCCCAAACAACATTTCAATAAAAAAAAAGTTGTGACACATTTTCTGCTTAAGCATTCTGCTGTAATCATTCTTCTCAACTCCATTTCTTTTAAAAAAAAAATAGTAAATTAGCTCTCCTCCATCAATGCTGATACTCACAAGTTTAAGCCTTAAGGGAGTACATCTATCTCTCTGCTCTATAAACCACCTGATATATTTTGAGTCTTGAATAAATGCTGCTCAGAAATACTTTCTTTCAATCGATATTTTCTCAGTTGTCTTTCACATCTATTTGCCAACTGGGGAAATACAGACTGAAGAAAATCTCTATCTCCCCCCAGGCTGAGAAATATCTCCCACTTAAGAAACTTTGATTTCTCTCAAGGGCTAAAAATGAGCAAGTAACATCCAATTATGCGTGAAGTCACACAGCTGAGTATACATTTGAGTGCAGTATGCCAGTAAACTCCACACAAGAACAAAGCCCAACCAGACACCTGTTAGAAGGTTGATTCCTGATATCTGTGTCATAATTCTGTGTTGTCAGACTAGTTGACATTCTTTCCCTTTGACTTCCTGTTTCATATATTCTTCCTTTTCCTTTACCCCTACACAGTCTCTTCTTGTCTGCTTCTTTGTAAATTAAGAAATCAATATAACAACTCCAGTTCTCAAAACCTACCAGGTTTTAAAACCAACATGGAATTTCAGGAGCTAAGTTTGTGAAGAAAAAAAAAGAAAGAAATTCTAACCCAATTCGATACTTCATTATGCAGAAAGAAAAAAGCAGAGAGAAGAAATCTAACCAGGAGGATTTAATATACTAAGGGAATACCTCTGCTTGAGAGCACAATTACCTGGTTCCTGTATTGCTAGCAGGGAGATGTTTTAGGTTATCCTAGCCTAGAGCTTATTATTACTCACTCAGATCATCTCTCTTGGAGATCTCACCCTCTAGGACGAGACTAATATAAAGAGTTCTTGGATGGCTGGATATCACATACCTTTAATATCAGAGTCAGTTGCTGATTCTTACTTGCTTCTCTACCAGCCTTTATGTCTCTTAGTTCCCTATGAATTTCCTGTATTGGTGGTAACCTAACAAATTTGACAATGATTCTTTCCCCATTTGCCAAATTTTCCACATGCTATTTTCTTGTATTCTAGAAGTTTCTTGTATGCCTGAAGTTTCTGAGTCATTTTCATTTTAATTTCCTTAATTGGCCTTGAATAACCTCTTTTCATAGACATGACTCAGCCCTTTACATTCATGTGTTAGTACTCAGTAATTAATATTTAATAGATATGGAAGCCAAATCTAAGGGGAAAAAAACTATATGTAGTTTGCCTTTGACATTTGGTTTCCATCCTATAGCATTTCATCAGATGTTGCATACCAAACTGTCTTTTGGTCAAACTGGAATTGAGATCAGTGACCCAATTCTATACTTCATGTACTCATGTACTCTATACTTCATGTACTCATATACTTCATGTACTTCATTTACGCTCCAATAGCTATGGTATATGAATAAACCACATTCATGTAAGTCTTCACAATTTGCTCTTGCCTTTTTCTATGCTTTGAGATCAACTTCAGAAACAACCCATGACACTACTGTTTTCCTATTTCACCCAATTCCTTACCTTCTATATCAGATTAGGTAATGTATTCAGTATTTTAGATAGGTGAGCTCATCAATTCCTTACAACCAACCTTGTGAGAGACTTAGAATAATTTGCATGTCAAAATTATGAGTTAATATGTAAAGAAGACAAGATATAATCCCAGGTCTGGCCTGCTCACTAAACCCATGATTTTAATTAGTTCTGTTGTATTCAAAGAAATAGAAAACATAAAACTTTGAAATTATTTTTAAACACCTACATCTCCATAACTTCTATTAAATCAGAAACAAAGTCCTAGTATTTTATATATTTTTAATAACAATTATTTTTATTTCCATTGCAAACTGTCAGAAACATCCTTGATTTGGGTCATTGCTATATAATTCTGCATTAATTTTACCTTTTACTAAACTTACAAAATCATTTTTTTTCTTTCTTTACAAGTAGTACACACTCTTCCAAAAGATCATTCCAGGAACACTGTGGGATCTGCTGTTGACCACTCATTTGTACATCTATATATCCTCCTTTCTCTTACATATATACACACATGCCACACACACCACCACTTTCTCTTCTAAGGGAGCCTGTAGTCTGTGTGATGACGACATCAGACTACATTTTGATATCACTCTAAATCTGGTAAGAAATCCTTAAAGCAGGATGATATCGGTGTTAGGAGACTACTAATGACATGGGTTATAGTTTTTGTATTTATTTATTTTTAACAGACTATGTGATCTTGAAAACTCCATTGAACCATTATGAAACTTCTGTTGAAGGATTCATTCTAATTCATGATTGGAACCTAAATTCTTGCCCTCTCAGGAATCAAAACTGTTTCTCCATATTCAATACATATGCGAACAAGAATATCAAAGTACCTCCTAAAATTTTTTTTAAAGCGTATGTGAAACGATTGTCCTATTACATATTACACATAAGGCTGTCCTAGAATAGTTAACTTGCTCTCTGCTCTTCTTAATACCTAGTTTCTCAGTGTCAAATGGTCCTATGAAGATCAAGTTAGAAAGTCTTTGATGGTAAACTACTATAAGATTATCATGTCCAGCAATAATATAACTAAACAATCCAAAGAAGCCCTTCTTTCATATTAATCTGCAATAGAAACCACGGAAGAGCTATATGAAATTCACAAATGTAATTCTTATAATGTCAGGAAAATTCAAGTTCATTATTTTCTTTTCAGCCTAAATGGAGAAATACAAACAGATAATGACTGTCCTTGTCCAGAGGGCACATATAGAACAATGACAATGTACTCCAAATTGCAAATTTCAATTCATTGTGAAGAACCACAAAGAAGTGATTTGCACTTAATGCAAGATTTTTGAAGAGTAGTGAAGAAAACAAGTTATTTTGGACCTCTAAAGCATACTTTTATCAGACAATCTGAAGTCATTTTGCCAGTTGAAACCTAATCTAAGTCAGGATGTGTAATGCCTACAGAGATGAGTAAGACATAACCCTTGTTCTTAGAAAACAGACAATTCAGTTGAATAAATCACAGAACAATCACAATAAGAGTCGTGTCATCAAAGACTCCTCCAAAATTATTTAATGTCTCATCTTTTCACTTAGAGCAGAAGTCAAAACTGTTACAGTGCCTGCAAAGTAAGCCCATCAGGACTTATCTTTCCTACTCCAAGCAGCCTCTCCTTTGCCAGTCTTCCTGCTGTTCCTGTGCGTCTCACCCAGATTGCCCCCCAGCATACTTACTGTGATTTTCCTTCCACAAGGAGTTTGCTGGTTAGCTTTTTGCTTTATCTAGAACTCCTTTATCCATTTATAAGATCCTCTCTTCAAATATTTCAGGTTGTTGTGCAAATGCATCTTATTAGACAAGAACTTCCCTAATGACCCATGTCAAATAACAACACTTATCTTCCCTTACTTGCCTTATTTTTTTCCATAGGTTTATTACATCTGACATCAGTTTATACATTTACTGTCTTGCTTTTTACACTAGACTATAAACTCTAGTTTCATAAATCATCGTTTCATTCATTGTTCTATCTCCAGTACCTAGAACTAAGCTTAGAACCTACTAGGTGTTATATATTAGAAGAATAAATAAATTAATGCAGAATTCTAGCATGCATGCTACAATACAGTTTGAAGGATTTAAGGGGCACTGATTGTCTGCCTGGGATGCCCCATTACTTTTCCTGGATTGACTTTTCTGACTACAATACTATAAGCCAAGAAGAGGGAATTTCAC